TCTTCTGGTTCTGGTAACATTTCCTGTGGGGTGCTTGCCATGTCTTTTCCCTGAAGAGACTAGGACAAGGGTGCAGGGCCAACACTCAGTCTTTGAGACAAGCCTCATTTTCCCATCGAGAAATTCAATAGGGTAGACCAGCAATTACGATTTCTCCTTGGCCATGGCACTTAACTTCTTTGCCTCCATTTTCTGGTCTGCAGTGAAAAAAGTCTTATCAGCCTTAGTTCCCTGAATGCTCTGGCCTGCTGTGAATATTAAATAGAGATCAATGTTAACTAGAGGTCAAACATGGAAAGCATAGGTCTCTCTACAAGTGAAAGCCATTGTCATATTGGCAGCATATCACACCAGGCTTGTCTATCATCTTTCACTGGCACTTAGACATCTCTCCCACGTAAATGGTGACTTGCAGTTTTCAAAATGTCTTCACATACATGATCTGATTTGAGCCTCCCAAATACTAGCAGTGACTAAAATCCAAGCCTTCTGATTCCTAACCCGTGGGTCCTCCTAGCACCACACTGCCATTAGCCCCTGGGTGCTCTGCTCCCAGGTGCCTCTCCATACCATTAAATCAGGCATAGACCCTGCTACTTGGCAACATTTGGTTTAAAACAGACACAGTGGTGCATCTGTCAAGTCACTGACACATAGGTAACACGGTATTTCATAGACACAGTCTCATTACATTAATACAACAACCCAAAGAAGAAAGTCATATTGCATTCATTTGAAAGATGTTAAAACTGAGGCTCAGAGAAGTTAGTTTACTTGTCCAAGGACACACAGAGGGTAGAAAATAGATTTGAATCCAGGGTCATTTGCCTCCACAGTTCCTAATTGTGATCTAGACCCCACCTGGTCAAGGTGTGCACCAGACACCAGCACCACTGGCACCACCTACGAGCATGTTAAAAAGTCTCCCTCTGGACTTACTGAGTCAGGATCTGCTTTCTAAACAGGCATTTAGGTGAGTCCTGTGCACGTTATAATTTAAGAACCATTGATCTCTGTTGCCACTCAGTGCAGCTCTATTTATGATATACAGAAGTACAAAATCTATAAACACGTATACACATCCATACACACATATATTGTAGTGTGTTTTAAAAATATACTTCTAACATTTTTACATTAAGAAAGGGAATTTAGAGATTTAAAAGCAAGTGACATGAGTCCCTGTGTTAGATCAGGAATTGAATTAATAGCTACATAATACATACTAAGAAAGAAGTGATTTATACATAAAGCAGTGGCAGCATACGCCCATTCCAGGATTTACATCAGAACTTCTTATTTTTGAAACTTACACACTGGTATTTTTCTTTACATCAAATACAGAAAATTTTATCCTCACTCTAAACTCTTCAACACAACAAACATGTGTCCAGTGCTGTACAGTTATGAAGTGCTCGAAGAATGTTTAAGATACAGTCTTTGCCCTGGAGTAATTTTTAGCTTTGGGGTCTCTTGGGAACAACTTTAGTGTAGTTTCCTTTTTTTTTCCCCCAAATTCTTTAAGTTGAACCCATGTACGCTAAGCAGGACCTCATGCATGCTAAGCACTCTATCACTGAGCTATATCCTCCCCCCGACCCCCCACACCCAGTTTTCCTTTTTAATATACTGGCTAGACCGATTTTGATTGGCTATACTGATTTTTTTTCCTTAAGCATTGTTTTTATTAAAGGAGCAATTTTCTGTTAAGAATATAACTTCATTGGTACTTTTTTTTTTTAAAGGAGGTACTGGGGATTGAACCCAGGACCTTGTGTTAGGCATACACTCTACCACTGAGCTATCCCCTCCCCCACATATTTCCTTCTTTAAAAGTGCACACACACCCAGCAGCAGAAGCTTTCTGTTTATTTTAACTATACTGATTTTCCCAGTATATATTTTTAAAGTAATGGGTAATTCATCCTTGAGGCCAGGGATATATAACAGTCAGAGTTTAACCACGCATTACCTGTACAATCTAGTCTTATCTGTAACTATCTCTTGGATAGTAGATTGAGTTCATATCATGTGCCAAGTCTGATCAAACAGTAGTAGCATTCTATACCCTGTCTCGTGAAGGATTCTAAGATATGTCAAGTGAGAATGTTCTGGGATCATTTAGCAATGTCTGCTGCAGGTGTGGGAAGGAGATCTTGAGGTACACCAGCCATGCATTGCCATCCGTACACTCTGACCCTGCTTCTTGCTCCAAAAAGCTGATGTCTTTACTCTTCCTCATGCATTCCACACTCTTTCTTTCCCCTGTGTCCTCAAGTTATTTCCGCTGCTTAGAATGTCTATTGTCTATGCCCAGACAAGAATCCCAAACCCTCCAATCAGCCTTCCCCAAATTCTTCAAAACCGAATGATAATTCTACTTCTGTTACTTTGGAGGGAGAAGGGGAAACAGAAAACAAAACACCCAGTCCCAAATCATATGTTTGGACTTCTTCAGCTCAGGGCCCTGGGTCAGATGCTTCTTTTCCACCTCCCACAGGACCAAAAAGATTCTCGGTACAGACTTGTTTTGATTGAGATTAAATACCACGACTTCCTTTGCGAGTTACATTTGTCCTTCTGGAGCTATGCAAGTGTCTACAGTTTTAGGTCCTTTATTTCACTACTGGAGATTACCACCTAATGAGTTCTCTTCTTTAGCTTCTCTTACTTATTCAAAAATTCTGTTATACCCTCTCTAGCTCTGTAACTACACCCAATTTTAAAATAAAGCCAGGCTCGCTGAATAAAAAGATTTTGAATGAAGTATGCTTTTCTCTTCTTGTCCTCCCCTCTTTGGTTTGGTTCTCAGAGGAATCAGTGTCTGAGAAAGGAGTCAAACAAATATGATTTAGATTTAAAAGCAGTCAGATTAGGCAATAATACTTGTGGTCCCCTTTACCATTCTTGGTTGTTTGTTTTTTTTTTAAATCAATTCATCTCCCTTAAGAAGCACTTGGGTACTTATTAAACATACAGATTCCTTAATCCCTATCCAGACTTATTAAATTAAATCCAAATTTCTAGAGATGTGTCATTTTTAAAACCCCCTCAAGTGATTCTTACCCACATTAAAGTTTGAAAAATAAAAGGAAAATTTGCCAACTAGAAGCAAGTTTTCTCTTGTATTTAAATAAGTAATATCACAAAAGTTATCTAACAATACGACAGTCGTTTTCTAAGATGGAACGGCTATAGACAAACCAGGGGAAATAACCGCTACTTAGAATATGTTAATTAATAAGACTTCATTATAACAAGAAACAAAACACTTCTGTACACACACTAAAAAGCTTATGTCTTACCCTGCACAAATTTGAATTCACTTGATTAGGCAAGGCAATACAAACCATTCTCAAGACTTTTAACCAGCATCTCTCTGCTAATTCATTCTTTCAACAATATTCATTGCGTGTCTGCTGTGTGCCTGGCGCTGTTGTAGGACTTTCTGGTCAGCCCTTTATTACTTTCGCCTCTCAGTTAATAGTCTGCATCACCACGTAGCCATATACTTTCTCACATTATCAGCAAAGATATCATTACCCTCTGAAATAAAGAGGAGAGAGAACTTCTGATTCTAGTTAAATATTTATCTACAGCTTGCAGTTTCACACATGATTCCAGGTGTGATTTGACCATAATTATACAGCCTTCTCAGTTTCAGGCGGTTTTCCCTTTGTGTCATAAAGCAAATTCTTGGTAATACATATTAGAGGTACCTTTCTAAAGCAGTTCAAAGTGCCTTGGCATTTATTGTTCCATGAACTTCCACTTTGAGGCGACTCGGCTGTTGGTGGGAATCAACTGATAATGGCCTCGGGCCTCTGGAGACAAAGCAACCAGGAGGAAGAGCAGGGCAAGGTGAAGAGCTAAGAACACTGATTAGGAAGGACTGAGAAAGAGTGAAATGACGTGAACACAGTGGTCCCCAGAACCAGCTGTATCAGGATCGCCTCTTAAAAACTGTGCACACGCATTGTCCAGCCCCTGCTACGGAATCAGAGTCAAGTTTCTGTATTTTTAACCAAGTGCCAGGGATGAACGTAGTTCACAGTCAGGACTGGGGAGCATTATGGGAGAATCTTTGATGGGGGCCTCCCCTGGGAGCACAGTGGAGGAGAATTGAAGGGAGCAGAGTAGAGGGATAATGCAGGTGGGGTCTGTCTCACAACCCATCAAGGGGAGTGTTAGAAGTGACCAGGGACCAAGACTACAGAGCACAGCGTTACAGTTTGATTTGAAATAGTAAAAGAGAGAGTTTTAACATTACTCATTAATGAAATCAAAGTTTCTCTCTTGAGACTTCTGGCTGGGTAGCAGCTCACAAGCTATAACTTGATGACCAAATGAAATATGAAAAGTATTGGCACTCCTTTCATGGACACTGTTTCCCAGTGGTTTTGCCACAACTAGGTTTTTTAATGGGAACTTGATGCCTGTTTTTTCAGATCCTGACCTGACACCTTCACAAAAGGAAATTAATGTTTTTAAAGTAACCTAGGTCTTGTATTAAAACTTTAGTTCTCAGGATACCACTGATAATTAAGCAATGAATGCTGACATTAGCTAGAAGCATCTATTTTAATAACAACAGTTTTATGGAGAAGTAAAGAACACTATCCCACAGAGAGCTCTTAAAGAGCAACTGATGTAATGTCTGTGGAATAGCTTTGTAAGAGTTGATTATACTTACTATTCACTAGAGACACTTCAAATGCAAAACAGACATTGTTCAGGATAGTTGTCTTGAAAACAGCAAAAAAAAAAAAATCACTTTGCTGATGAAAAGAGAGATTAGTGAAAGGAGTGAAAAACAAAGAAACCAAACAACCTGAGAAAGGACCCTCATTTCCTTTCCTTTACATTTTTAATTCTCAAATATCAACAATAGTCTAGAAATACTGTGCTAAGTTAGAGGAATATGTCTTCTAAATGGCTCTCTACATTGTATCCAACCGGTACAGTTAGGGGTTTAAGACTTTTTGGTTTTGTTTTCACAGGTTGTGGTGCCCTTTTGACCTTCGCCTTAAAAATGAATCCAGTTGTTTCCCAGCCAAGATATGGTGCAGGGGCCACGGCTAGTGACTGGCAAACCGGAATGTTCGACTGCTGTGATGACATGGGAGTTTGTAAGTGCATTCGGTTGTTGCTCTCTCCAGCCTGCCGACACCATAAAAATCGTTTGTGTGTCCTCTCACTGAGTTCCATGTTTTAGTCTAGAACTCGGGAGTCACAACCTGGAAGCCCAGGGGCGGGTTGTGCCTCTGGATGTGTTTCGTTTGTCCCGTGCCTAGTCACCCCTCTTGCTGCCTTAATTTTAGAATAGTAAGATTCATATAAAAATTAGATTCCAAAGAAAAATCTAGTGTTCCAATCTAGGTCTCCAAATTCTCTTGACAATTTGGGAAATCTGGAAAGAGGTGTCTTCATTCTCAGCTGGTGGAGGTGGGCTGCCGTGGTGTAGGACCCGACCCCATTCAAAGTGACCTTCACTCTGCAGTTTGCCACATTTCCATCCACCAACCATTGTGGCTTTTTCTGTTTTGTGGGTTTTCCCCAAGCTATTTCACTCATTTATTTTACCAACCTGGCCTTGAGTTTTGGAGCCCTGGTCATATCAATCACCTTTTTTTTTTTTAATTTTTTGCAGAGGGAAGTAATTAGGTTTACTTACTTACTTTTTTCGTGGCGGTACTGAGGATCAATCCCAGGACTTCACGCATGCTAGGAGAGCACTCTACCACTTGAGCTATACCCTCCCCCACATCACTTCTTTTTATATTTTTCATCTCTTTAGTATCCCCGTGGTCTTGACACGTTTCTCCAGTTTTCTCTTTGCCTTTTCTTTTCCTCCGGAGCTTTATCTGTGTTTCTGGCTTTCAGTTATGTTCTTGTGGCTCTTGTGGCTGTCCCATTTCGGGAAGCATTCAGGTTTCTAGCTTTCCTCTCTTAGAATTCTTTCACATCACCAAAACATTCTTTTGTGTGAGACAATTTCCTTGTGTGAGGCAACTGCCCAATGAATTGCCAACATTCTCCCTGTGGATTGCCTCTGTCTTGAGAAACAGCGTCTTTTTTTGGATACGGTGGAAGTTTCCAGTTCCAATGAGATATAGCCTTTTGCTAAAACAATCAAAAAACAGGGACTTTCTTATCTCATCTAGGGTACTGCCATATCAAAACTCCACCCCTGAACTTTTCAAACTAGACTTGTACTCAGAGCATGTTTGAGAACAGTTTCCTGTTTGCTGCTATTTTAAGGCCTTTCGTGTGTGTGTGTGTGTGTGTGTGTGTGTGTGTCTTATACAGACTCCTTCAGGTAAAATTTCAGTATGATTTTTAAGTTTTTGATGCCAGTATCCCTTAATTTCTATTTGCTTCCATCCTCATAACAATAATAAGGCTCTCCTCTTTGGCAGAATGACCATCTAGAATCTACTTCCTACTGCTTTTCTCATGTTGGCCCTAAGTATTTCTTCACTCAGCACTTTCTGATCCTAAACACACTCCCACAGTTTTCAAAGGGTTCCTCAGACATCCCGATGCCACAACCTTCCCATGCAAACATGATCCAAAAGTAAACAGGAGCAGGGAAGAAAGATAATTTGCATGTGCTCAGATCCTCAAGGCAAGAGCTTTTGCAATTAAAACTGATCTGGTATATGACAAGCCAATTTTCCCCACATCCTGGACTATAGGGTCTAGAAGCAAGACATAAAGAGCCAAGTGACCCCATTGTTTTTGCAGAGTGTCTGTGAAGGCCATTTCCTGAATGAGGATCTTTTTGAGAGTGCTATGATTAAGTCAAACCACGGTTCCCTTGACTAATTCCTCTATGTAATTTCACCCTGCACTCAGGCCTCTGTGGGACTCTTTTCCCCCTGTGCCTTTCATGTCAGATCGCCTCTGACATGAACGAATGCTGCCTGTGTGGAGCAAGCGTCGCCATGAGGACCATGTATCGGACCCGATATGGCATCCCGGTAGGTCACTCGTGTCCACTGTGAAGTGGGAGCCCAGACGGCCCGAGGCCCTTCTTTCAGTCTGACTGGGCCTCCGTTTTTGCCCTCCTCACCGTCATGGCTTGACTCTAGTCTTTTTTCCACTACCGTCTAAAATATTTTAAGTGACTTACAGAGGCCATGCGGCTATCTATACTTTGGAATATATTCCTAATAAAATCTTTTATTGACCCAATAGATGTGTCTCTGGAAAAGTTGCTGGAGGTGAGCAGGTGAGGGGCAGAGATCAGCGTGAAGTCCTTAGTCTCTCCTGGCTTTACTCAGAGTCAGAGCGAGAACCCTGCAAATCTGCAAAGTGGGTGACAGTTGCCAAGGAGGCCTTGGGTTAACAATGGGTGTGTAGTGGATGCCCTCCAAGCTGGCACATTCGCCTCATTGGTAGCCCATAAGCCAGTGCTCATCCATTCAAAAGAGAGTATTGAGCACCAAGAACCTTGTTAGGTCTTAGGCTGACACTCACTCATTCAACAGGGATTTATTGAGTACATAGAACAGGCCAGGTACTATTGCGGTTGCCAGAGACACGTCAGTGAAAAAGAAAATCAAAATCCTTGTCTTTAAGGAGTTTACGATCTGTTTTGTGGGGGGAGGATTTTTATTTTAACGTAATTTCAGATTTAAAGAAAAGTTGCAAAAATGGTACAAAATCTTCCTGAATACCTTTCACCTGGATTCCCCAAACATTAAAAATTTGCCACATTTTCTTTATTTTCTCTCTTTCCTCTGTGTGTCTATGTACCTATTCTAATTTTTTCTGAATCATTTGAGAGCAAATTATAAACTTGAAGCCGTTATCTCTATTTCAGTGTATATTTCTTAAAAACAAGGATAATCTCTTACATTATCACAAAACAATTATCAAAACCAGAAATTTAATATCAATATAGTACTACTAGCTAATCTATGGGTGTTATTTAAACTTTATCAATTATCCCAATAATATTCTTTAGGTGAAAAGGAAGTCAATCTGGAATCACACATTGTGTTCACTTGTCATGCCTCTTTCTACAACGGGAGAGAGTTTCTCGGTCTTTCTTTGTCACAGATCAGCTATTTTGTAGACTACTCCTCAATTTGCCTTGTCAAATGTGTCCTCATGATTAGACTTAGGTTACACATTTTTGGCAGAAACTCCACAAAAGCGATGTTGTGTTTGCCATACATCACATCAGGAAGCACATGATATCATGTGCTCCACTATGGGTGATGTTAACTTGGATTCCTTGTTTAAGATAGTGTCTGCCAGGACTCTCCACTACAAAGTTGCTATTTCCTCTCCATAATGGATAAGGATCCTGCAGAAAGATGTAAATATCCTGTCCCTTCACCCACTGGCTCTAACACCCTCTGAGGATTCTTGCCTGAATCAATTATTATGATGATGGCGGTCAGCGATAGAGCGCACACGTTCATGGGAGAAGACAGCTGCAGTGTAACTAAGTGGAGTATACAGGATGCTGATAAGTGCTGCAGAGGAAAATACAGCAAGGAAGAAGAATAGAGGGCTGAAGGGCTGTGATTTTACATAGACCTAAGTAAAGATCTGAAAGTGTGAGAGGATGACTCATCTCAGGAGAGTCCAGGCAGAGGAGAGAGCCAGAGCCAAGGCCCTGATGCAGAGCTTACTGGAATGTTCCAGACCCAGCAGGCAGCCAGAAAGGTGGAAATAGAGTGTGTGCACACAGGTGCGCGTGTGTGGTTGGGGGAGGGGGATATTAGAAGAAGATAATGTCAGAGCATTAGCAAGAGTTAAGACCTTCTAGGGCATTGCAGACCATAATAAGAACTTCAGTTTTTACTCTGAGTGAGCAGGGAAGCCGCTGGAATGTTTTTAAACAAAGAAAGGATATGATGGATTTGTATTCCTGGAAACTTAGCCTCTGCCCCATGCGTTGTGACCAAGAGCAAGTGATTAATCTTCCTAAGCCTTGGTTCCCTCACTGATAAAATGGTAATAATGCTGCCTCTCCCATGGTGGTGTGGTAAGGGTCACATGAGGAAATATGTGGAAAGGACTTAGCCCAGGGCCTAGCAGGCAGTAAGTGCTCAGTAAGTGACTATGTTTTTGTTCTTGTCTCAGCTGTTTTCTCAGGCAGGCTTCCTTCCTCCTGTGGGTTCGCTCAGCCGCCTCTCTCAGCACTGCTGGCCACTCTCATTTATGCCACTCCCAAGGCAGCATAACTCAGCACAGGGGTTCTTTGTGACTGGACCATAAACTCCTCAAACTCTATGCAAAGTTTCAGGTGTATGGAGTTATGTGTATGGGTGTGTGGGTGAGGTTCCCGAGGTGGTCTGTAATGGCACAGAGGAAGGGGCACTCAGCTGGATTCTGGAGCTGAGAGTTCTGTGCACAGCTCAGCAAAGAGCTAACTTCTAAGACTCTCCGATAAGTCATTGGGCGGCTTCAGTCTTCTCATCTGCATGAGGAAGTTGCGCAGTACGATTTCTAAGGTCACTTCTAGGTCTAAGTTTCTATGATATAATCAGTCTCCTTGGCATACTTTAAATAAGTGTATTTATAGACTGTGTATCTCTGTTCTTCCTCCTTAGAACAAACCTGGAAAATGGCTAGTAAATCCTAGGGCTGATTTGTATAATTCAGGCTCTCTGCTTTGTTTCCCCTTTCCATCTATGCAAACTTTTATAGCACTGCCCCAACCTAGCCTCTCTGACCTGCCCCTCCCTTCATGGACACAGGCAAGAAACATCCTTTTGCCAGGACCCCAGTCTCTGCAGGAGAGAAGGAGAAAGAAAATGAACCACCACTTGATTGACTCCTATGTGCTGAGACATTATCTGGACACATATTTGCTCATTCATTACTTACAAACTCTGTGTTTCAGGGACTATTACCAGCACTTTATAGATATGAAAACCAGGAATGAGAAAGCTAAAGATCACAGAAATCTAAATGCTGAAATTTGGGCTCAAGTTTATTCTGACTCCCAAGGTCTGGTTTTTCCCACTGGACCACCTTGCCTTCCCATTGATGTGTATTCAGCCACGTACCACAACTCATTGGCTTATTTGCTCAATGATTCTGTAAATGGTGCTCACAACAAGGTTGCTTTTTTAACAGCTTCCAAGCAAGTAAAGCACCGTTCCCCTTTACCAAACAGAATCGTGACAGCAGAATCTTTGTTCCTGGCACCCGTTCCCTGGGAAGATGCTCTGGTCAAGGTGTTTATGACCCTTATTAACTTCAGCATGGTATAAACCTATAGTTCACTTCCTCTTACTTTGAAAAAAAGAATGCTTTTTCTTCTCTGTGGCCTCTGTATTATGAAAGACTTTAGAGAGTGTTTTCTTAAAGTTCCCCTAGGTTTCTCAGAAAATAATAGTGGACTTTTCCCCTCTAAAAGCTGCCCATGGTAAAAGACAGACATAGGCATGCTGGAACAGTAAAGTAATTACATCTTTGTTGAATGAGAATATCTTCTTCTTTGTAGCATATTTTATGTGTGCAATCAATGTTGGTTTAATGAAGGTTTAGAGATTAAAAGAATAAAAAATAATGAACTAAAGAATGGACAAAAGGTACTATGAAGAAAGGATTTGGATGATTTATCATGGAAAAAGAGAAGGCCAAGAGACTGAACTGTTTTCAAGCAGAATATCTGTTCCTCCATCTGTTGAGATGAGGGTCATAACATCAGAAAAATGTTTACACTGTTACCTAGTTGTCCACTCTTTGTGCACATGCTTCCTCTGTTAGATGAGACTCAAAATCACTGTCACAAGGGAAAAAATGTTTATGAAAAATAAATCATTCGTAGTCTCACTGTTTAAGAGCTCCTAATCCCTTATAAACTAAGTCTGCTATAGATCTCTCTCTTTCCCACTCTCTTTCTTTCTGCTCGCATTGCACATTGGAAATTGTATTAAACTCAACATTGTAAAAAATAAGTGTAATCCAAAAATGGAGCCCAAACTGATTTCAGTCAGTCAAGACACATGGTCATAGAACCCGACTGTCAGATTGGACTCCCCCGGATCACCCAGAGAGATGTCAGTGAAAATGGCTAGAGGGCTACAAGGTGAGGCCTGGTCTGGCACTATGCTCACAACCAACTGGAAAAATTGATGCATTACACAACTGGCTTTAAAGGGAACCATCTCACCTCAATATAAATAAATGCATGCATACATACATACATAACATACATACATACAAGGATTTTTTTCTTTTAAAAAAGGGAACCATTCCACTTCAATAAAAATTAATTAATTAATTGATTTAAAGTTTAAAAATATTCCAGAACAGATGCTAGAGAACTGGGCCTGGAATTGTAAACTGCAGATCATTTGAAAAGGTCTATGTTATGAAAAGAGCACTGGCTTGAGGAGAGAAAGACTAATCTCTGCCACCAATTTGTTGTGTAATCTTAGCAGGTCAGTTAGCTTCGCTTGGTCCTCAGAAGAATAGGGATAAGAGCACAGAATTCTCATGATAAACAAGTGACAGAAAATGTATGTTTTAAAGAGGCTGGAAAAGCTATATGAATGCAAGGAACTGTGTGGCCATATTAATAGGCTACATATTGATCCATTTATTTGTTTTTTTAACAGGGATCTATTTGTGATGATTTCCTATGTATGACGTTTTGCACTCATTGTGCCCTTTGTCAACTCAAGCGAGATATTGAAAAAAGAAAAGCAATAAATGCTTTATAAAAGGTGCTTGGTAAGTTGGTGAGAATTCTTTGATTTATGAGGATCAAAACAAATTCTCAAAGACATCTCTGATTTCCTTGGTACCCTCACAGACACATGAGCTATCCCTTAACAAATGGAGGGTAAATGGCTTTAAATGGCCAGTCTACACCAGTCAGTTGGGAGTTAGCTTTCCAGAACCTGGGTGGAGCGGGCTGAACCTGTTTGGATAAGAAGGAATTCTGTGATTTGTTAAGATGTCTGCCACGGGTGGAGTGGCCATGTGATGTACCAGATAAACATGCCACACGTCTTCCACACTTATCTTAACTACACCCTGATTTAAGGTGGTGGAGGTATGTGTATGACAAAACATTCATTTCCCGAAGCCTAGATATCAGGTCCACTGCTACCAACAGTTACCTACTGAGATGTCATACTAAGTGTGACTGTGTAACGTATCTAATTACAGGTTCTTGTCAACACCACAATATTAAAATAATAATTCATTCTCCAAAGTGGTGGAAAGCTGTGTTAGTCTCTGTAAGTTAAGTGTGGCCAGTTTACCCAGTTATCCAAAATGCCCAAAGCTCCCATTTAGGAAGAAGAGTACCGATTTTTTGGTGGTGGTATCACCAAAGTTGGGCAGCTACTCATTTGCCTCGTTTCCTAAGTCCTCCTGTCACCTATTTAATCTTCTCAGTTCTTCCTGTTTTTCTTAAGGCAATGGCTTATCAGTCCTGTCTTTCCATCTCTTACTGTCAGTCTCATGGAATTTGTAATCAAAGTTTCATTTTCACCTGGAAATGGCTCTTCTCTGTGAAGTCCATCTCCCAAGAGGCCTTTGAGAGTGTTTGATCAGGACGGCACATCCATCTGCATGACTGGCTGACGCTGGCACAGTCTCTGTCTCTCTTAGCTATTTTGCCACATGTGGCACAAAATAATGTCCTCTTCATGAACATTTTAGTTCGTGTCATTTAATTTTAGTACCATTTTAATATCCAGGTATTAGTCTTCTGATTGCTTTCCTCAGTGACGGAAGTGCTTTACTCATTTTCAAGCAGAGTCAAGATGGTGAGCCTTCTTATTCTTTTTTCCTCCTTGTATCCTACCTCCTGAGAATCGGTTGTTGTTTCTCTTCCCAAGCAGTAATGTTTCTTTAAAGCCTTATGTTACCAGTGTGACTCAGAATTGGATGCCCAAGTAGACCTGAGGGAATTGGAAGGTGGCAGTTTACTGGTCTAGTCATCCAGCCAATGAAAAAGATTGTTTTGGGGTCTCTGCCTTTTGGAGTCTCTTACCTTAGCATGTTTGATGATTCATTGACATTTGGTAAGGGAAGTTAGCTCTGGCAATCTACAGAGCATTCTGTTGGTTTACCCAACCACCTAACAGCAGTGCCTGCCACATAGTAGGCACTTAATAAATATTGTGGGTAAATAAATGAACCCAACTTTCAAGCAAGGAATCATAATGAGACTCTAACCTGGGGACTCATCTGAATCTTAACTAGTGGTCATGACCCTTCCAAATAGATAGTAGTGAATCAGGGGCCATTATTTGATATAGATTTTAAATATGTAGCAATTTGGTGCTAGGGTAGCAGGAAATGAAGTTTTAATATTTGGAACAAGATAATATAAAGAAAGATGGAATGATAAGTCTTAATTCATTCATTTATTTATTCTTTCTTTTCTTTTCTTTTCTTTTTTTCCTTACCTCTACAGGCCAAATTCACGTTGTGGTAAAAGAAAATACTGGAATGAAATCCTGCATCGATTCAGTGCTATCTCATTTCGAGTCTTAGAAATTAATTCAACTAATCATACAGTTTCAAATGGCTTCAAAACATTTTTAATTTCTGGTTTATTTTGAAAGAAATGTATTTCCAATACGGTTTTCCAAGATGATTGCCATTAAAAAATTAATTTTGTCAACAATTTGTGTGTCTTTAAATATTGCTTCATGGAAAATTACAATATGCTTTGTTTTTTTAAAATGAACCCAAGGGTTGTCAAAATGTAAAAGTTGAATAATGGGTACATAGAAAGTCTTTATTCTACTTTTCCACCTTTACATAAGTTTGAAAATATCCAGAATAAATTTTTAAATATTGTTCAAGTAAAAGGCTTTTATTATTTTAGATTTTCCCTCCACTGGGAGACCAGATATTACCCTGTGTGGTCCCTCACCCCAGGCAAGTACGATTTCCTCCCTTAGGGAGCCTGAAGGGCCGTTAGCACTTCTTTACAGCACCACAGAGTAACTCCACTCCAAAGACACAAAAGGGAGGATTTCTGTCATCAGTCACACAGCAAACCACCTAATTAAAATTTCCATTGGACAACTCTCTTCTCCCCAAAGTCATCTTCTGCAGCAAGACAGCCACATACCTTTCTTTTCTCCTTTTTTCCCTGGTTAAGGTGACATTTTTCTAATTGAGATATAGCTGACATATAACATTGCATTAGTTTCAGGTGCACAACATAATGATTTGATAGACTTATATATTGCAAAACGATCACCACAATAATTGTAGTTAACATCCATCACTGCACAGTTACAAGCTTTTTTTTTTCCCCTTATAATGAGAATTTTTAAGGTGTAGTCTGTTAGAAACTTTCAAATCTGCAATACAGAAAAGTTAAATGACATTTACAAGGTCACCAGTGTACACCAATGTATACAGAATGGCAGTGCTGGGTCTAGAAAGCGGGTCTTTGAGTTCTATGTCACTGTTCATGGCAGTACACAGGAGTGTTTTTTATTTTAATTGTATTTTATTTTTCTTGTAAAAAGTAACCCTAGGGGAATGAAATTCAAGAGTGGGAGAAAGACTGTTCCACTCCATTCCCTTTTTCATTATTTTAGTTTTTTAATGTGAACTGTGCATGTAATAAAAAAGTTTAAAGACAAAAAAAAAATAACCCTAGTGTTTAGGCTGTCAAGGATTGTTCTTATAAATTTATAGACTATTCTATCGTTTATCTTCCTAACAGTCTTCATATTCTATTTTTGGTTTGTTTGTTTAACATCTGCTTTGTCAGATAAGCATCATGAAAGCAGGGACAGATCATATACGTTCCAATTTCCTTTTTACTCCCCCAGCACATGGAAAGTATTGTGGTCAAGAAGTCAGTAAGACTTGAACATAAGACAAGATACAATAAACCTCCTAGAGGAAAATATAGGCAAAACATTATCTGACATACATCTCAAAAATGTTCTCCTAGAACAGTCTACTCAAGCAATAGAAATAAAAGTGAGAATAAACAAATGGGATCTAATGATACTTACAAGCTTCTGCACAGCAAAGGAAACCATAAGTAAAACAAAAAGACAACCTACAGAATGGGAAAAAATTTTTGCAAATGAAACCGACAAAGGCTTGATCTCCAGAATACATAAGCAGCTCATACAACTCAATAATAAAAAAAAAACAACCCAATACAAAAATGAGCAGAAGACCTAAACGAGCAATTCTCCAAGGAAGACATACAAATGATCAATAGGCACATGAAAAAATGCTCAGTATCACTAATTATCAGAGAAATGCCAATCAAAACTACAATGAGGTATCACCTCACACTAGTCAGAATGGCCATAATTCAAAAGTCCACAAATGACAAATGCTGGAGAGGTTGTGGAGAAAAGGGAACCCTCC